GGCCGCGCTTTGGCTCCCGGCTCCTTTCCAGCGTTTTTGGGAAGGCCCGGAGGGGGTGGCAGTCCCTGGGACTCGGCCCAAGGTCCCCAAAGCAGCTCCTGGTGACGGCAGCTCTGTCCCTTTCCGTGTCCCCGCCCGTGTCCCTTGGGGCGCAGCTCCCATCCCAGGGCATCCGGCACCCCAAACTCCCTAAAACCCGGGATTTTGGGGCAGGAGGGGCCTCGGGAGGGAGCTCAAAGCTTTGGGAGCTGGGAAGGAACAGCGGGGCACAACCCCTGACCCGGGGGAACCGCGGGGTCCCTGTCCCCAAAACCCCAAAAACGGCTTTGCCTGGCACGGCTGGAGTGGCCCTGACCCGGGCCGGACCGGGACAGTCCGAGGTGAGGGAAGGACAGGGCAGGACGGGACGGGACAGGGATGTCCCACACCCAAAGAGCCACCTGAGTGTCCCCAAAGTGTCCCAGGGCTGGAGGGGACACCTGGATGTGTCACCTCGGACTCTGCCGGAGCTCCGACGCTTCTGTTCTCCCCCCAGCCGCTCTTCGGGATCAATTAATATTACTGGCGAGGCTCATTAACACTCCGCTAATTGCACTCTGTAAATCACGAGCTTTAAAAGCAGCTCTGGGGGAGATGTCACGTCCCGAACGCCTGAGAGCCTCATCCAGAAATTCCTCATTTCTCCCGGTTTTCCTCCTGATCTTCCCGGGAATGGGAGTCGGGACAGGAGCCCCAGGATGTCCGGGGGTGCAAAAATGTCGCTGCTGTGGGGCTGGGTGGGACCCGATTCCCTGAATTCCCTGATATTCCCTGATTTTCCTGATTCCCCTGATTTCCATGCTATTCCCTGATATTCCCTGAATTCCCCTCTCATTCCTTGATATTCTCTGAATTCCCTGATATTCCCAGATTTCCCTGATTTTCCCGATTCCCCTGATTTCCATGCTATTCCCTGATATTCCCCTCTTATTCCTTGATATTCCCAGATTTCCCTGATAGTTCCTGATATTCTCTGATTTCCCGATTCCCCTGATATTCCCTGATTTTCCCTGAATTCCCCGGTATTCCCTTTTCCCACCTGCAGCTCCCCGAACTCCTGGCCACGCCCCTTTCCTTCACCCCGCCCTTCACCCGGA